CCCGGGCAGTGTGTGTTTGGGAAGGAAAGGGGTGGGAGGCCTCCCCTCTCAGTGCCCGTGGTCCTGAGCCTCGCTGTGGCCCTGCGGCACAGAGCAGTCCCTGTCCTCTCTCAGCCCCACTCGCTCCAATTTCAGACTTGCCCCGGCCCCAAACCCGTTATCAGGACTGCTGAGCACTGCACAGACCACAGCTTGGACTGCAACTGCATCCTCACTCCAAGTCAGAGTCTGAAAGGTTCAAAGCTGGAATGGTGGCATTCCAAAAAGGAGGCCCTACACTTCACACCCTCCTCCCCTCCCTCGTCACCACAAGGGCAAAGAGGAAACAGGACATTTGTGTCCAGGACAGGATAAACGTAACTAACTGGGATATGTGACACACCCCACTGTGTCTGCACAACACAAACACACTGTCTCTTAAGCACTAAAACAACAGGAGGATGATCAGCTGCCTGCCACCATACCAACACTGAAGTCTTGATTTTTTCTGAAAAAAATGGTCCCTGTGGGATCCCTGTCCCTTTAGAAAGTCAGATGGTTTTAACAACATCCTCTGACTGCTACCCGTGCTAGTTCCAGCCTACCATGAGCTCAGCCTCAGCCTGTATCATCTTGAGGGTGAGAAAGGCTGAAAAAGGCAGTCCTGCCCTTACACCTACAACTTGTTGCACAAATAAGGCAGCATGATGCCTCATGCAGGGGAACCGTACCAGGGAGATAAAAGGTAGGTGGGAAAGGTCTTGTCCCACACACACAGTGGGACATGAGAAGAGTACATCCCAGTGGGACCAAGCTGTGATCTTTCCATGCCTGCTTGCACACAGCACCAGAGAGCTCAGCACAGCATTCTTACTCCCTCACCGGCTGCATGGTGCCCCCAGCAATGATTAGAGCACGACATTCTTCCACCACCTTGGCAAAGTGGACAGCTGGATTCAGCAAGAGGAATTTGAGGCTGCTCTGACCAACTGTGCCTGGGAAAAGGAGAGAGACAGCATCAGGAACTAGCTGTGAGACACACTGAGGGATATGAGAGATTCTTCCTTCTGCCCTGGGCACCCTGGTAGGCCCTCACCTCTCAAAACAAGGACTTGCTATTCAACACTGCCAGGGGCAGCAACAGGTAATGCCAACCCAGAAGTTACCTGCTGCTTCCTAATCTTCCTGGAGCTATGGAAGAGGTGCAATAAAATTACAAGACAAAAATTGACATCCAAAGTGGGAACAGAGCTCTGCAAGCCTTGGCCCCCATGCCCTTGGTTAAGAATTCCTTTGCATTCATGAGAGTCTTCACACAGATAGAGCCTGCCAGCCTGCACCATGGGCAGCACAGGTATGTTCCAGCAGGGCTGCAGGCTCCCCCCAGGCTCAGGATCTCCTCCTGCCTCACTGCCAGTGAAGCAACCCTGTTTGCAACTCACGTCACCTCTCCCCAGCTCACCCTTTACAGTACCTTGCCTGTTGAGAATGACTCTGCCATCTTGGTCTGCATTTGTAAGGGCTGAGAGAAATCCTTCAATCTGCATTAGTGGAGAGGCACTTCGGAGCTGGTCGTTCTCAGCCTCCACAGGAGGGCTCTGGGGAGTACCTGCTGGCCAGAAGAGAAAAGGAGAGGCAGGCAACTTAGGCCACATCTCTGAAGACAGGGATGAGGCACAAAATATAGATAGGTCCTTTCCACAGGAACATGATACTTGGTCTACATACACAGGTAGAGAACAAACACCCAATAAAGGAGAGAACCCAAATTCTGTCTCATGCTAGGAAAAAAATAAAAAAAAGATCTGGCTTTTGTAGCTGGCACCACTAAACAGAACTACCCATGGAAGCTCAGTCCCCAGAGCCAGCAAGTCACAGCAGGGCAAAGCTTGACTGTATGCAGTGTAAACATGGAATTGCATCACTCGGCTTGGAAGGGACCTCAAGAGATCTTCTAATCATATGTATAGTTGCCTAGGTCATCTAAGCACATATATTAAAAAACACCTGCGCAGGACAGCTTCGGCAGTCTATCAGTCTTCAAATCTGCCTCCTGCCTTTCCTCATGCAGATAGATACAGGTTCCACATCCTCACTTCATCCACAGATGCACAAGTGGAGGATGTTTGAACTCACCCTCTTTATCAGATCCCTGCTGGAGGGTCAGAAGAAAGTTCTGCAAACCAGCCAACTTCTGGTTCTCCTTGTTGGTCTTCACAGCTGTGGCAGGGCTTCCATATCGCTCCACAAACCCAAAAAGCTGCCAAGCAAAAGCCAGTAAGACAAAGAATACCAACCGCAGGAATCAGACAAGATAAGAACAGGTTTGCTGGCCTGACACAGATAAAGTTCCTTGGTAGGTGTTCGCAAGCCAACCCAATTTGAATCTATCAGCCCAGAGCTCCTGTTACTTTCCTACACTCATTGAATCAAAACCAAAACAAGTCTCTGATGCTTTTTCCCCCAGTGCAGTGCAGCCTACCAGGCTGGCAAGTTTGAGGCCAAGCAGCACAGAATTAGCACCCACTGGAATACTGTGGTACACCATGTTGTATGCTTTTTTTGCCATACAAGCAAAAGGTAACCTGCCTGTACAATGATTTCTGCAGCAACTGTTTTGTTTGCAGAGCAGGGTGGAAAAGACAGGCTCCCACCCCAGCTGCTGCATCTTCCACTTCAAATTCAATGTGTGAAACAGCATCTGAATGCTGTTGACCATAAAGTCACAGGGGCAGTACCTTCCTACTGATGAGGCTCTTCTCACAGTAACGCTGAACCTGTTGGAAGAAGACAGAAAAATGAACTGGCATTCAGCATCCCTTCTCCCATGCTGCTGCCCTTGATCCTTGTCCAGCAGGGATATCACTTGGTGTTCTTGCTGTGCAAAGGGGTGCACAGAGTGTTGCCTCCCAACAACGTTTCATTACAAAGGCATTGCTTCCAGAGTGGAAACACCCGGCACTAAGGTGCTGTGTTTGGAAGTTTGAGGGATGGATTAGGTTACTGGAGTAGCATAGTTTCTTCATCCTCAGCCCTTACAGTTCAGCTTTGCCTGCAGACAGCCTCTGCACTCATACATGTTTAATTGCTTGCTTCCCTCTACCCCAAGGCCACCTATCCAGCTTTGATGCACTGTTATCCAGACAGCAGCAGAAGAGATCTGGGGAGGTGGGGAGAATCTGCTAAAAAGCATACTCTGCCACGTGGGCCTTGGCTCTACTTCCAGATCTCGCACACACTTCCTGATAACCTTGAACAAGTCACCACCACCTGTGCCCTAGCAGACAACAACATTTGCATTACCTTGAAGAGATTAATATTGTCAATCTGGCTCTGAAATAGAAAATCATTGATGGATTTTAGCACTGTCCCTGAAAGAAAAGGGGGGAAAGAAGAAAAAAATTATTAGCTGCCAGGCCTGCAGCTCCTTACTGCCCATACCCATGTTCGTAGCTGATGGGTGCATACCCCAGGTGTTCACTCCAGTCTTACCTGTTTGGGAAACTGCCTGACAGCTAGGATTTTGGTTCACATTACCTGTAAAACATGAAACCAATTCAAGGAAGGCTTACAATGCGTCTGACTTAAAATTAAGCAAGAGACTAACAACTGAGCTGAAAGGGACACCGCACCACTACAAAAACCAAGAAATAACTACACATCTGCAAAATGTAGCTATACAGACAAAACACCAGCTCCTGCTCAGTTTTAATTTCCCCTGTAGGGTAGCCCTACATCGTAGGACAAATGCGCTGCTGCATCCTAAGAAACACCACCTACATTCCTTCTGTAGCAGGAGGCAGCAGGTAAGGTGGGTGCATACAAATGCTCACACACTATGTAGTCATTATGCTGCAAAGATGGAGGGACGGGGACTGCAATGCATCCCTCACCCCTCTTCAATAGAGCAATGGGGAGCTGGGAGGCGCATAGGGTGGCAGGCGATTGGGAAGGAGGGAAAAAACTGAGGACAGCTCCACACCCAGACCCCGACAGCTGAACAGGATTAATTGCTGCCACTCACTGCGTTTTATGTCCTAGTGTTTAACACCAACCTCACATCTCACTCTTACAGCCTCATTTGCAAAGCTGTACACAGGCTGCATTTTCTAATGAGAGCACTTAACTGAGTGTGGGGAAGAGAAGAGTAGCAGGAACAGAGGGGGAAGAGAAGTATACGTTTGAGAGAAAGGCAGAGAGCACCCCCAGGCCCCTGCCCCAAAGAGCTGCATTTCCCCTGGGCGAAGAGGAAGTTCTTTATGAATTTATGACAGGCTCTCAAGACACACTGAGGTCTAGCAAACAGATCATTAGAGGAAAGGACCCCTGCGAATTCCAGTGGATTTATAATCACAGCAAAATGATATTTTCTCACAAAGGAAAGGCACCACTCAAGAAAGATTCATTCTGCAAAGGCACACCTGACACAGGTAGAGGCCTTGCTACCAGATGAGCCAGAAGATTTATTCTGTGCAGCTCTTGTGCTGTTCTCATCACTCTTACACATCTGCTGTATTCCTCACTTAGCATCCTACCTTGTCCCCACTCAAATCACATCTGAAAACCACAGAGAAGGAGAAAGAAACTGCCTCTACCAACTTATGATGTCATCTGCTGCTCCTCAGCTAATCAAAAAAGAGAGGTATTCAGGCAGACATCAGTCAACATCCCCACGTTACAAAACAGCCTCAGAAATAAAATTTCTGGCATCTGAACCTATACATGAGCAACACTTCCCAACAATCTCTGCAGAGGGGGAAGGGGGACAATGCCCCAAGGAAGCACCAACTAGCTCAGACCCTGTCAGCATCCCTGGAGACAGAAGAGGTTTGCTTACCTCCCAGCATGGCCACAAACCGCTCCAGCAAATACAGGATTTGCTTAATGTACATCAAGTTCTTTGCCTTCAAACGTTTCCTATGAAAAATGAGACATGTATTAGGCCCCAAAACATCTTCAGGGACTAACACAGGCAGCTGAGCTGCAGAAACAATAACCTGAACTCCCCTTCATTTTGGGCAGACAGGAACCAAGAATGATTTCTCCCAGGCTCACTCTCCTTATTTGTGACTGGGGACAGACCTCTGGATATCTTGCCTAAGGTCACTTCAGAGCACTCACCCATGCACCCCACACTGTTCCTACCGTTGCCTTTCCCCTCACACATTAATTACTGTTTGTTTATTACAACGGCAGTGATGCCTCGAGTCCCTGTTGCCGTAACGCTTCACAAATTCAGTTATTAGCATTGAGCACAATAATCAACCACTGCAGGGATGACAGGACGCAGAGCCAGAAGCACATATAGCTTCCTCCCTCTCAGAGCTTACTGCCTCTGCCATAATGCCAGTCTGCACATCAAAGACTAAGGTCCAGGAGAGATATGAAAGACTGAATCTTTTTAAACTCTGCATCACAAAGCAGGAGCGATGAGAGGGAGATATTGGGAAAAGAACTGAGAGTATAAGAGAAAGCCAGAATCCTCAGGGTATCCCGCTTCTCACTGCTTAATACCACTCCCAGAAGCCTGACTTAGACAGATTCTGAACAGAGATAATGAAGCAAGTGGCTTTTCATCTGCAGAAGTATTAATGCAAATAACTTTCCACCAGGGAAAAGCAAGACAGACCCTGCAGACATGACACAAGCCATGGCATCCACACTGCCTGCCACTGTTGTGCTATTTTCCTCCAAGATCCTCACCTATATCGCTCCATGTACTGCAACAGCTGGGAGTGGGCACCGCACAGCTACACGAACAAAAAAAGGAGCTGTTATCACACAGGAGTCAAGAAAGGGTGCTTAGCTGGATGCAGAGCTCGCTCACAATTAACAGGCCAGGCTATGACTCACCTGAGAGCCACTGACCTCCGCACTATGGATACAGGTGATGGTGTCTATGAGGTTGTGAGCCTCGTCAATGATTACGACCTGGTCCTTCAGCTTGATCCCAGCAGCGCTCCTGGTAGGCTCATGTAAGAGCATCTGATAGGGCAGCACCACCAGCTACAGGAGAAGCACACGCTGCACTGATTCCAGCTCTCACACTTCCAAAACTTAGGACACTCCCCAACCACCATTATAGGTCCATAGCAGATGGCCTTGCAGAATTCAGTCAAGTCACCTACTCTTATTATGGGAAAGGTAGGAAGAGAGACAGGAGCACATGCCTGAGAGGGACACTGGGATGTAACCTAAAGAGAAATGATAATGCTACAACTGCGTATCAGCTCAGGTTACCTTCCAAATCTCCTTTGAAGCACTGAAAGCAGGTCTTCTGATAGAGAACCAAGAAAGGAAGAAGAGCGGGGGCCAGAGCTGAGATTACACCCATGTGTCAGTATTGCCTGAGAGTTATTGAGCCTTTCAAGTATTTCAGAATGCTGAGACGTACTCACAGCCTCCCTATTAACTTCTCATCAAAGTTACAGCTGACAGAAACACAGCCTATTTACAAACTCCCGCAGTACTGAGTAACAGTACTAAGGGCAGCAGGCAATTGGTTTATTCTTAGAGACCCTGGCGTTAATTCT